CTATCTAACGGACTAGCTACTACTTAGCACTCGACGCAGCCCGTGCTCGACAGTGGTGGCGCTGTGGTACGGGCGGGGCTCGGGCGACCCTATGAGCGTCGGTGGGCGCACGTCAATGAAGCGCGCGAGGACGGTGCAGACGTCGTGGAACTGGCGGCAGTGAATGTGACGCTGGCGAAGCACCGTCAGCATCGAGTCGAGCAGTTCCTGAAAGTGCTCGAGGAACACTTGGATCGTGTCCTTGGTGCGGCGGCGGAGGCGGAGGTGCAGCCACGTGCGGAGGTTGACCTTCTTGGTCGGATGGTCAAAGTTGTGGTGGAGGTCTTCCCAGAGCCATGGGCAAATACCGCTGCACACGTGACCGGCGTCGAGCGCCGTCAAGAGGTCTTCCTTGAGCTCCGAGAAGGCCGCCCAGCTCTGCTCGATGACGTGGCAGCCGTCGCCCTTGTCGACTTTAATCACAAAGAAGATGCACGCGCTGTCGGGCTTTTTCTTGTCTTTCGGGAGACGCACGGAGGCCCGTTCGATCGTGACGCGCGTCCGGTCGAGGCGATGCGTCGGGCTCGGCTCGTCGTCGTCCATCGAGTGGCTCGAGCCCCACGACGCGCGGGAGCGACGGATGATGTCGGGGGTCGTCAAAGCAGCTTTCATGGTCAAGGCGGCAAAATGGAATATGGGATCATCCGACGTACCAATCCATGTAATTCGAACGGCATCACTGCGGTTCACTCAAGAAAGAGTGCCATGCACTTGAACTCGGCACTGTTTGTGTCAATTGGGATCTCCATAATCCGATCGGAACTGTATTAAACAGCGCGTGCTTACAAGAAAAGAGATGTGTATATACCGTCGTTGCCAATACTGTTTTAAACTGCTCCGACTTACTTTAGTCCCGTCGCCCGTAATCGGCGGAGCGGCCACCAGCTGGCGATTGCAACGAAGCCGATCGGCGTAAGGTTCTGTGATTCTGCGGTTGGGAGCCAACGGCGCGTGCCGTTGTCGCAACGAAAGCAGTTGCGACGTACCGCACTTTCTTGAACTAAAAGTAGCTGCACACGTCGTGATGGCACACACACTTCGCGAGGGATCGAGGATTTCTGTCCGATCCTCTCAACGTCTCCTAGTGACATGGACCCGACGGCGGCGATTGGCGACCTGGAAACATGCGACCGTTGGTGTGAGTACGTGCTTCCAAGCTGGAGCTGTGTGTGCATAAGAACAGAGAGAGCAGAGTACAGAACCCAGTTTACAATACTCTCGGAAAAGCAAACGCCGTTGTGAGCCCACAGCCAGCCTGCTGTCCACTGTTGGTCACCGTGGCTCAGCTCCAAATCTCGAGCCTGTGCCGTTGGGGTTCAATGCCGACGCAACACCGACAACCCAAAACGGCTTGAAACGAGCCGCGGCTTGAACAGCTTAGCCGACTCGAAAAGTGGAGCCTGAGCCGATCACATTTCGCCTCGAGCCGCGGCTCAGCCGTTAGAGCCGAGCCGCGGTGACCCCTGGTCCACCGCTCTGTCGGCCACGCTGTAAATCCACTCAACGAAGCGCCTACTAGAACAATTTTACCGGTATGATGCTGTCTCTTACACGACTTGAGAGACCGTCCCATGTATTAATACTCGATACACACATCTTCCTTCCTTTTGACGCTGCATGGTGTTGCTGCTCCATCCGCTCGCTTGCAATAAATCAAGTTGAATTAATCATACGTTTAGGCACACATCGGATGCAGCACACTCGACGCTATCGAGCAACGCGCGGCCTCGAGCACCGTCGGCGGTCGCACCGCAATGAAGCGCGCAAACACCGCGCGCAGAGCCGCAAAGGCAGCGCAGTCGTTCGTGTCCTGACGCAGCACGACGAGAAGCGTGTCCAAAAGGTCTTGAAAGTGCTGCAAAAAGAGGGCTGTCGCCACCTCCTTGTGCGGGCGCAGACGCAGCTGGAGCCACATGCGCAGATTCGCGCTCTTTGGCCGGTCAAAGTTGTGCTTGAGGTGCCCATGGAGCTGGGCGCAGAGCGGTCCGTTCCGG